CCATTTTAAATCAAACTTAAACTACCAGATCCAATCTTATCTTCTGCCACCTAAGATCCAACCTCCTTAGAAATCCGTCTGGGCCATTAAATTGTAAGCCAGCCCAGCCCAAATCCAGCCTATTGATTTTCTTGATGATTGGGCTTTACCTTGACACGTGGTCTTACCCTATTGGTTTATTTTAGGTGTAAACAATGCCCCCCAACACTTGGTTTTATAGGAATAAATCCAAGTGTTTAAATTTTAAATTACCTTTCAGATTCCAAAGGCCACCTGCAAAATCTACTAAATTCCAAGATGATTGCAGCAGACATTCCCAACTTTTTCACAATTGACTCTGTCTGAGCGCATCCAGCCATCCACAGCCAGTCATGGCCGCTCAATCAAACTTGCTCTCATTTTGGAATAAACACATGAAAGCAAATCAACTTATTTACGCACATACAGAAGTATGAACCTGGCTCAGACAGCTTCTTGGGACTTTAAGTCTTTTGCCTCCCAGACTGTGGGGTAATAAGGCTTGAGATAAATTCCATTTATTTTTCTAGGATGAAGCTCTCCATCAAGTGACTCCAACCAATAAGCACCCCCTCTCAACACTTCATGAATTCGAAATGGTCCTTCCCAATTTGGGGACCATTTCCCAAATCTGTGATCTTTCTTGCTAAGAGGTAAAATTGCTTTCCAGACCAAGTCACCAACTACCAGATTTTTACCTTTTACCCTCTTGTTGTAAGACTTTGCAATTTTGAGTTTTTGAGCTTGCAATCTATCCAAAGCTGTCAAACGTGTGTCTTCAAGGTCCTCAAACTCAAGCATCATGGCCTCATCGTACTCTCCAGACTGGAGATTATGCTGAATTGCTATTCTTAAAGACTTGGCTGTTAACTCCATTGGCAAGACTGCATCATGGCCATATGTCAAGGCAAAAGGTGTCATTTTGGTTGAACTCCTTTGTGAAGTTCTATAAGCCCACAGTGTTTCAGACAACAGTTCATGCCAGCGTCTGGGGTTGTCATCCACCATTTTTTCAAGAAAATTAATCACCACCTTATTAGAAGCCTCCGCTTGCCCATTAGCTTGTGCATAATGAGGGGTAGAATTTAACAGACGGAAACCCATTTCCTTTGCAAATGCCTCCACTTGATGGCTGACAAAAACTGTGCCTTGGTCTGTTGTAATTGTTTCTAGCAGACCAAATCTGTGAATAATGTCCTCTTTGATGAACTTAATCACATCAGATTGGTCTACCTTCTTCATTGGTTTAGCCTCCACCCATTTGGTAAAATAATCTGTTGCCACTTTAATAAATGAATGACCTTTTGATGAAGGGGGATACACCTTACCAATCAAGTCAATAGCCCAGCCTCAAAATGGCTATGGTTTCACAATAGAATTAAGTTTAGAGGCTGGAACTCTTTGAAGTGGCCCATGGATCTGACAAGATTTGCAGCCCTTAGCATAAGCAATATAGTCTTTCAAGACAGACGGCCAAAAGAAACCATGTCTGCGAATCAACCAGCACATCTTGATCCCAGCCTGGTGTGCACCACAAATCCCATCATGGACATCAGACAACATCTGGACCCAGACAACGCAGCAGTAGTTCATCATTGCCTCTTCTATAAAGTACATCCTCAATCAAGACATAATTGAGAGCTTGCATTTTGGTTTTCCTAGATACCTTAATGCTTTGATCCTTAAGGTACTGAATAATTGGAAAGCGCCAGTCCGTCTGGGTAACATCAATGCTGTAAGTGGAGACAGTCATGCCACATTGATGAATTGATGGCAGACTGCGTTTTTCAACTATTACAACTTTCTGCATTACACCTTTCTGCATTACACCTTCAGGAATTCGCAGACCTGAAGCAATCTGGGCCATTTCATTAGCTTCATAGTTTTGGTCTCTGGGCACATGTCTGATGGACACGTCATCAAATTCTTCCAGCAATTGCACAGCCAAGGCAAAATAAGGGGCTAAAGCAAGACTAGTACATTTGTACTCACCAGACAATTGCTTCAAGACTAGTTGTGAGTCCCCTATAACCTCAACCATGGATTCTTTAAGCTCCACAACATTTCAAGACCAATAATCAAAGCTTCATATTCTGTTTGATTATTTGTGCAATCAAAATCCAACTGGAAAGACATCTGTGTTTTCAGCCCAGATGGGGAGATTACCACGACTCCAGCTCCAGCCATGGTTTCTGTACTAGACCCATCAAAAATAAGTTTCCAAGGAACTAAACTTATTGAAAACAAGTTAATCCCTTTTCTTCATCTGCTTCCACGTCCAGACATGGATGATCTGCAGGAAAGTCTGCCAGTGCCTGCCCTTTGACAGCCTTCTGTGTTATATACTTCAAATTAAACTCAGACAAAGCCAGAATCCATTTACCTATTCGGCCTCTTAACAAAGGGCGGGACAACATATATTTGACAATATCAGTCTTGGCAACCACATA